AGCCGGAGCTGCAGGATCATGAACCCTAAACTCCTAAACCCTAAACCCGAAACTAAACCCTAAACCCTAAACCCTAAACTAAACCCTAAACCCTAAACCCTAAACTAAAGCCTAAACCCTAAACCCTGTAACCCCGAGGGCCCTACGGCCCTATAGGCCCTTTATGTGAGCCCAGCCCCAGGATCTGATCACCAGCAATTTTGTGGGGACCCCGGGCTGAGGTTTAGGGGTTTTTAGGGCCCCTAAAGTAGTTCCTTTTTGAGGCTTATATTATCCTATTAGGTAATCCCCAAAACGAACTACTATGGGGCCTATGGGTAGTGAGTAGCATTAGATTTCTGGTGCGGGGTCCAGTTAATATGTTGGGTTTTCCTGGGGCTCCATGTGTTACAAAAGGTTTAGGGGTTTAGTGACTTAGGGTGTAGGGTTACAGCGTTTTCGGGGTTGAGATTCAGGAGTCGGGGTTTTTGGGATGTGTGTCTTATTGTGTTTCGTGGCACGATGGGTTCGTGGTTCTAGGTATTTGGCAGCTGTCTGGTGGTATATGCTTAGCTTGGTTTACTGGCGAACATACTGGCCTCGTGTCCATACTCTAGGTCTCACTTACTGCAGGCCTCACATGACCCAACCATTACAGTCTACAGACGTACAGTCTGGTCTCAACGATAGGGCTAGGACATTTTCAGGTGGGTAGTTAGCATTTGGAGCCTTATAGAAGGTTTATATACCTTATAGAAGCCTTATAGAAGCCCTATAATACCCTAAACTCCCCACCAACCCCTAAAGCCTAAACCCTAAACCCTAAACCCTAACCCCAAGGGTTCCTTTAAGGGTCCCTCCTTTAGTCCCTAAACTCCCCAGTTTCGTTTAAATAGGGCCGTAGCGCCTAAGCCCCGCTGGTGGCCCTGAGGTGCGTCGTTGCCAAATGCTGCGCATTGGCGGCGATGCCGGGCTGAAAGTCTTGGCCCGGTCCCCGGTAGTAGTAAGCATCATCTTTAGGGTTTAGGGTTTAGGGTTTAGGGTTTAGGGTTTAGGGTTTAGGGTTATTAGTGTTGGCATTGTCATTATTTTTTACTCATTTTTATGACTTTTATTTTTGTTCTTGCACTTGCGGTTAATATTGTCATCCGCTCATTATGCTGCTGATGATGATGATGATGAAAGTGTGATATATAGTTATTCGTAGCAGCACCATGCTACTACTACCAGGACTTCTGGAGTTTGTTTTTGTTCGTTGGTTTTGTGGTTTTATATACGGTCTTCTGCTATTCCATATATGTGCATGTCGAAAAGTGGCTTGCTTGTTTTAGGCGTTCATGCCTGTACAGTTGTTGAGTTTGCAGTAGCTGTTGTCTGTATGCGTGTATATGCATGTATGCGAGTATGCATATATGCCCGTGCGTATGTAGGCCTAGGTAGGCAGGCACGCAGGCAGGCAGGGAGGTAGGTAGGTAGGTAGGTAGGTAGGCAGGCAGGCAGGTAGGTAGGTAGGTAGGTAACTACATACGCATGGAAAGCATGTAAAGCAGGAGTGCGACTGCTCTGAATACAAGTCGAAACCCTGAATGATTGAACCACCCAAACCATGATACCTGAACAACCCTTGTAAAGCCCAGAACCCCGAACCCTAAATGCGGGCATTTCTCAACCCCACGAATGAAAAGTGTTTCAGGATGTTTCTCGGCCCTGATTTTTGGAACGACCTACACGGTACATTTGACTGATGTCCCATGATTTAGGTGTTGGGGTCCGTAGAGCCCTGCTACTTCTACAACTGCTGTGTTCATGAAAATCAGCTCAGTTTGAACAGCAGTCGACCGGGTTACAGCTGCTTCAAAACGTAACTTTTGTGTTTGCTTGGCTAGAAACGCCATTCTAATCGTCAAGGCCCACTTCTGGAACCCTATTCTGGATCCTTAATAACAAGTACCCTGCCCACCTTGTGTCATCAACCCGAAAGCCTATGTCAACCCGCCAAACTCCTAAACCCTAAACCCTGGATAATCCGTTCTTCGGGAACCCTCCTAAGAGCCCTATTCTATTGATTATGGCCCGTAAATACTCCCTTCCCTTACGGATCGCGTTAAACCCCAAGCCCGAAACGCTAAACCCTATAACCCTATAAACTCTAAACCTCTTCTAAACCTGTTCCTGCAGGAAGCAGCCCTGGACCCAACCGCAGAGGCAATGCCGGCTGCCAAGAACAGCAAGGCCTCAGCTTGGCGGGCTTTTAATGTAGGGGCCTTGACAATTAGAATAGGGTTTTGGGCTCCTTTATCGCATTATTATAACAAGGAACCCTAACAGTAATGTTGGTAACTATTTGGCTTCCATATACAGGTTTAGGGTTGAGGCTTTAGGGCTGTCAGGGTTTATAGTTTAGGCTCTATAGGGTTGAGGGTTTAGGGTGGAGGATTTAGGGTTTTTGATTTTTAGGGTTGAGGGTTTAAGGTTTAGGGTTTCGGTTTAGGGCTCCGTTCAGGGCTTCGAGGGATAAGAGTTTAGGCTTTGCGGTTTTAGGTATGCAGCTTCCGGATTGAGGGTATTGGGATAGGGCTTTGTGATCTAATGTATGGTTGAATACTGGGGCCTTCATACTCAGCATTGGGGTTTGAAGGTGCATTCTAGTATAGTGCTATGAACACTCTAACTGTGGTTTTTTTGTTTAGAGCTTTTGGCGGGTAGGAGCCTAGGTTGGTGGGTTCAGGGTGTGGGGTTTAGAGATGGGGGCTTGGGGGTCTAGGGTTTAGGTTTTAGGGTTTAAAGGGGTTTAGGGGTTTAGGGTTTAGGGGTTTGGGGTTTAGGGGTTTAGGGTGTGGAGTTTAGAGATGAGGGTTATTGGGGGTTCGGGATCCAGATAGAGCTGAGGGTTGCAAGCAGGGTTGATGGTTTGGTGACACGGTTGATGATATGAATATTGCATTACCTTACGGACCCCAAACTATGGGAATTATGGCATATTCCTTCTTATGTGCAATGCAGGATTTATATCATCAGCTCTAGTTTAGGGTAGTGACATGGGCTTCGAGTCTTGTCACAAGGGGTTCGGGTTTCTGGGCGAGCCTGCATTTCTGGTATGTTCGGGCGATGCTGTAGTCGGTTCATTCACAGGAATGCTGGGCTTGTTGGCTGTAGGGTCCTTGAGGTATTCACACCAGGTCCAGGGAATTAGACCGAAGGCTATTCCAGAACAGACATGCCCTGAGGCGTACCCACTACCATTTAGTAGTTCATAGTGCAGGGACCCAAGAGCCCTCCTAGCAGCCAAGCTATCTGACAGCCGCACGGCCCCCATGATCTTCACGCCCAAAGCACACACACACACACACTAGGCCCGAAGTCTCAAACTCTGAACCGTAAATGCCCTCAACTCCCAAACTCGAAACCGCAGAGCACAAACCCCAAAAAGCATCCTAAGACAGTCTAAATCCCAAATCCCAAACTCGAAACCCTCAATCCCAAACGGAAGAACTCCCACATGCCGCTGGCAGGTAGCCCAGGCGATCGAGGCTAGCCGTGGCCAGGGGGATGCCTCGAAGGAGCGTGCCACAGTGACGGAAACGAAGTGGGCGTTCGTCAAAATTATGGAGGAGCAGAGTTAGTCTACAGCGGACATGAGATAGGCAAAACTGCATCCATCGAGGTCTAATCTGCAGAACAGTGACGGAAACGACATGAAACTTAGGACATCGAGGAAGCCTTTAGAACTTTGGGTGTCAATAAGAGCTTTACAGTAGGGTCCAGGACTGAAGGTTCAGTGCTTTGGGGTATTGGAGTTTGGGAGTTTAGGAGTTTAGGGTTTTGCGAATTAGAGTTTAGGATTCAGGATTTAGGGTCGTGGGCAACACCAACAGTCAGTGTGGTGCCTGTCGTGTCGTTTAATCCGTCTATCTCCGCAGGAATGGATGCAAGCATGAAATGAACAGAAGTAAATGAAACGGAATGAGCTGCAGCGAAATGAAGCGAATCGCCGGGAAAGGAAAGGACAGGACATAACGCCATGCATGAGTGAATGGAAGGAAGGAACGAAGGAACGAATGATTGATTGAACGTAGGGCCGAGCATGCATACGTTTGCACATATGTGCTTATGTAATATGCCCATGTAACTCTGCATGCATGTATGCATGCATGGATGTGTGAATGCATGTATGTATGCATGTATGTATGTATGCATGTATGTATGCATGTATGTATATATGTACGTATGTATGTATGTATGTATGTATGTATGTATGTATGTATGGATGTATGTATGTACGTATGTATGTATGTGTGTATGTATGCGTGCACATATGTATGTATGTGTTCATGCATGTATGTATGTACGTTTGTATGTATGTATGTATGTATGTATGTATGTATGTATGTTTGTATGTATGTATGTATGTATGTATGCATTCATGCATGCATGTATGTATGTATGTCTGCATGTATGTAGGTTTGCTTCTTTTTGCGTACTTACAGATGATGCTATGTCCAAATATTTTGCATATACATATGTATATGTATATGTGTATGGAGATGTATGGACACATGTATGGTGCAGTGCGTACTCGCGCACGCGCGCGCCCCAGTGTGAGTCTGTGTGTGTGTGTGTGTGGCGTGTATATGTGTGTCCAAACGTCGTAGCGCACTCCCGTATCGCAGGACACGAAGCCAGGCGACAAGAAGGAGGTCCGTTTTGGTTGCCTTCCCTACTTGGATGTTCATGGGTAGTTGTGAGCCGGGTGCTAAGCAGGATATCTACAGTGATAACCCATATTCGGGGACTTACATTACAACCCCTAAACCCTAAATCACAAACCTAAACCCCAAACCCTATAGAACACTTAGATAGCTTGTAACCCTTGAATCAACCTCCAAGTAACCTCCGGATCGGCCCACAGTCTCCCTTGCAATGTCGTTCTTTGTTCGAGGGTCCGTGTACCCGAACAGTATATATTTTGGCCTCAGAGTAGTCCATATATAGGTAACTTAGGGCCCAACATATATATACTATTTTGGGTACATGGACCCTTAGGGTAAGTAAACGCTTAGGCTTCCTTGTCTAGGACATTTTCAGGTGGGTAGTTACCGTCATAGGAGCCTTCTAGAAGGTCTATATACCTTATAGAAGCCTTATAGAAGCCTTATAATACTCTAAACTCCCCACCTGTAGTTTCCTTTAACCTTGGCAAGTCGATTTTCTTTGCCTGTTTGTTCTAATCCCTAAACCCGAGACCCTAAACC